AGTGAGTGAGTGAGTGAGTGAGTGAGTGAGTTGTGGGTGTCATCTGTTTGCTGACCCCACGTCCAGTTCTATTGTCGCTACGCCACTGCCCCGGCCACTGTAACTGTAAGCCCCCATCGTTGGCAACTGTTGTCAGCAGGTGCTGTAGTGGTTCGTAGTGTTTAGTGGTCAGCGGGACAGCTGTGGTGGTCAGATGGTTCTGTAGTGTTCAGTACTGGTCTGTAGTGTTTAGTCCTCAGCGGGATATGTAGTGGTCATCAGGGGCTGTACTGGGTCAGCAAAACGCGGTGTCCAGTAGAGACTTACTGATTGGCGGATAGCATGGTTTTAAACATACGCATTGCTTAGTGGAATATTTGGTGTCTGGGGGGATCAGACAGTATAGAGATAGGTAACCCTGTAGCCGTACATGATGACGCCCTCAGTCACCTCCTGTATTTCTCAAGTTTTGAGCAGGCAAGCTGATAGCGGCCATTATACGGCTGTACATTATATAAATCTGTAGGCAATACATTATATGACTTATATCAGGAGTTAATAAAGACAAATTTGTCTTATTAACTTTTTTTTTATGTCTTTAACAAATTTGTCTTTATTAACTCCTGATTATATGTATCAAGCAAAAAAAACAATCAACATAAAAGGTATCCCCACACAAGCACACCCGAGCATGTAGACACCATGCTAAATTTGTAAAAAGACCCCCCTAAGAAAAGGCCTATACCTGCCTGTACCCAAACTTTTCAGCCTTGGTCGGGTGAGGGCAAACAAAGATTTTTTTAATTGTGGCCTCACCCCCTGTATTTCTCAAGTTTTGAGCAAGCAAGCTGATAGCGGCCCACGGGGATCCATTATCTGTTAGTGTTAATAAGACGAGAGAAAGATTGTTGTCTGGGGAAAAGCTGCGGAAGCGAAATCCGGGAAAGTAGAATATGAACAACTGCTGGTCGCTATTTTTGGAGAGTGTGCGGCATTAGATAGCGCTTTTGTGGGCTGTTGAAAGAGGTCGGTTTGCGTGCGTGAGTGCGTGAGAGTGATAGTGAGTGAGTGCATGGGTGAGTGAGCGAGCGAGCGAGCGAATGAGTGTTGGTGTTCAACGTCTGATGAATGCCAGTCGACATCTGCTTTCTCTGGCAATTACTGCGTCGCTATAGCCTGCAGCCTCGTGATGCTGAGGCACTCCCCCTCCCCACCAGGACAAGTGTGAAGCCATTGTCACTAACTTGTTCGATAATCGTAGCCGCTCGTTCGCTAATCGCATTTCGCATCTAACCTTTCCGACTCAAGAAAATAGCAGACGTGGTGCTGGGTGCGTTCGTTGTGGCGGGGGCTGCAAGTCGGCTTGGCGCAACGTTTGTTTCTTCTTCTTAGACCCTTCAGTCTCCTGGGAGACACTGGTCATTGGTGAATTCTCTCCATGTCGCTCGGTTGGTTGCCTTTCGCTCCATTTCCCTCCAAGTGTTACTGTAGCCCTTCTTTAAGTTCAGTCTTCTAGTCTCGCCTCCAGGTTGCTTTGCGTGTTCCCATCTTAGACGCCTTCCTTGCGGGTTCCAGCTCAGCGGATTCGAGTTCCGGGCTTGGCACAGCGTTGGCAATTTCGAATGATTTATTCCCGTAAAAACGATACGTTGTTGGTGGGCGAAACATTTGACAGGTTCACACTGTATAACGTCGAAGGTGGTTATCGACTTGAAGAACAGAGCGGATTTGAACGACTCGAATTTCACTGCGGTACAGACCGCAGGAGTTGTAGTTGCCTTCGCTACTTTATGCCCGAGAAAATTGGTACTACATCCACGGCTAAACTGCCGTGGCTACCCTACCGTGATTTCTCTCCCATAACTACAAGATGACAACGATGTGTACGTGTCACTCTTTGTCCCACAAAACGTTGAAACTTGAAACTCGATTGGCCTTGATCACCCTTCTTTGACGGAAACGTTTGTCGCGGTGTTCCTCAAACCCGCCGTGGTGTCCGAAAAAAAACGGAAGGCAACACTTTTCTTGCCCTAAAAAAATTCGAATTCGGCACCTGCATTTTGAAGGTCACCAGTGCTTGACCTCTCGGTGGTAGCCGTGGCTTGACAAAAACTGTTCAGTGGTTGCGGTGCGCGAAATTCTTTTTTTCCTGAACCTTTCGGGCAGTACTGTGTACATTTGTACATCTTCCTCTTCGTTTTTTCTTCTTTATTTATTGTTTTCTTATTATTATGTATTATTATTATTATAAATCAACAATCATCAATCAAAAATCATCAATCAGGAATAAATAAAGAAGAAAAACGAAGAAGAGGAAGATGTACAAATGTACACTGTACTGCCCGAAAGGTTCAGGAAAGTGCGGCGGAGCGACGAGAACGATGGCGATGGAACTCCCCGCGTCTCCCCAGCCGGCTATCAGCCTAGTTGTTAAAATCTTACATGTTGTCGGCATCTGTGAGTCATGTGCAGCACCGGCGCATGACAAAGGCGTGGGTGTGAGACTCTCCTTAACCCCCCTCCCCCTCCTCCCGTCCTCAGCAAGCACTGTTGTTCAGGTAAGTGTATATATATGTGCCCAGTGGGCAGATTGTTTGACTGTTGTCAGCTAGCGCCTACAGAACAATTATTGTGACCGACCACAGCGCCGCACACGCGGATGCTGTAGCTAATCAACCCACTCCCCCTCTCTCTATATATATCTCTTCCTCTCTCTCTATCTCTCTATCTCTTCATCTCTCCCCCTCTCTCTATCTATCTATATATATATATATCACGCTCTCTCTATATGTTTCTCTCTCGTCATCTCTCCTCCTTTCTCTCTCACTCTCCTCCTCTCGCTCCCCCTCCTTCCCTCCCTGCCCCTCTCTCCTCTCTCTCCTCTCTCTCGCTCTTTCTTCCTCCCCCTCTTCTCTTTCATCTTTCTCGCACTGTGTGTGTGTGTGTGTGTGTGTGCGCGTGCGTGCGTGCGTGCGTGCGTGCGTGCGCGTGTGTGTGCGCGCGCACTACGAGGGGAACGGGTTGGTCGACATTTCGATTAGGCCATTATGTAAATGTGTTGCCTGCACTCACACATGTCATGCTTATACTGTACGTGCCGCCCCACCCGTGTTCGTGCGCACAGGCACTTGGAGCGTTTCAATAAAATATAATGCTAAATTAATGCTAAATAAATACGAAATCTATTTACTACCAGTCTTAATGTTTCTCTAGGCCTACCCTCTTTCACCTATTATTGCCGACAATTTCTTGCAAATGCCGTCCAAATGCTCATCTGCAACAAACGCTGGCTGCCGTCATGGCTGCCGCTGCACACTGACACATAAATATATATCAAGAGTACAGAATAGAGCTCTTGATATATATATATATCTATATATTTATGTGTCAGTGTGCAGCGGCAGCCAGCGTTTGTTGCAGATGAGCATCTGGACGGCATTTACAGGAAATTGTCGGCAATAATAGGTGAAAGAGAGCATAGAAACATTAAGACTTTGGTAGTAAATACTAAATAGATTTCGTATTTATTTAGCATTATATTTTATTGGAACGCTCCAAGTGCCTGTGTGTTCGTGGTTGTTGCGGGTGCGTGCGGGCTTTCTTGTGGCAGTGTAGCTATCTAGTTGCACATGTGCTAGTAGTTTGGTCGTGGTATTGTCAAGTGCATGCCTCTCCCTCTTTACTTGGGGCCCGGGGATTTCTCTACCGTGTTTACTGTGTTTATTCTCCCTCTCCCTCTCTCTCTTTTCGCTCATTATCCTTAGAACTATGACATTTGTCTGTCTGTGTGTCTCTGTCACACCACCACATTCAGCACACACACACCACCATGCACACAACACAACACACCCAGCACACACACACACCACACACACACAGCAACACAACAACACGGGTGGCACACACAGCCAACACACACACAACAATCACGCGTCGACATAGCATACATCTTTAATTAATCTTCTATTTATCCGTTGTTTAGCAGACGATAATGTGAGATTTGAATGTGTTACCTCGGGCCTAATTGAAGCCTAGCGGGGTGCAAGCACGAGTTTCTGCTGAATCTTGGCAGTGCCACATAACATAGAGAGTAGATAGTCAATAGGTAATTTATATTATAGGCGTATTCATGTATTTATATAGGGTGAAATAGGGAATTCGCTATTATGATATTACACGAGAGAGCTAATAAATCCTCTATATTATTAGCTCTAATTATTAAGGTCTCTATTGATTAGCTCTACTGAGTAATAACAGAGTAGAATAATAGGGAATTAGGGAATGCGTTACCCGTTTCCGCTATTATTCTACCTTCGGTGATAACTATGGCAGTCCACCGGCCCAAGTGTCGCACTGTACGTATGCACACTCACACACCGTCACGATGGGAGTAGGCTAGAAGACTGGATAGAGAGAAGCAGTCGGTGGGATGAGGGTGAGGCAAAGCGAGGCTTGGGATAGAGACCAAGTCAGTCAGTGGACTCGAGGGTGAGCGCAAGCGAGGCTTGACTATAGACAAGCAGTCGGGGACTGAGAGGGTGAGGCAAGGTGAAGGTGAGGCAAGGAGAGACTTGGATAGAGACCAAGCGTCAGTGGGAGCTGGAGGGTGAGGCAAGCAAGAGGCTTGGATAGAGCCAAGTCATGTTCAGTGGGACTGAGGGGTGAGGCAGCAAGAGAGGCTTGGATAGAGACATAGCAGTCCGGTGAGGACTCGGGGTGAGGCAAAGGTGAAAGGGTTGAGCAGGCTAGAGGCTGAGGTAGAACAAAGCGCAGGCAGATATGCTATCATTTGGCTTCCTGTATAATACGGGTAAATAGCAAACACAGCTATTTGTCCTGGGAGGTTCAAACCTATATATAGCGAGTAACACGGTCTCTGGAGAAATCTGCCGTGCGTAATGTAAGTAAGGGAAGAGTTACTTACGCTGGAGGTGAATTACATCAGTTAGCTCTGTGGGGACAACCATGCTGTACCGGCCCTCATCAGTATTAGGCGTAGAAACGATATATGTAGTACACACATGCTTTCTGATTGCTCGAACTCGAGTGTGTTTTCTGGTCCTCTGCTTCTTCCCCGTTCTCGCAGTCTTTCTCACCTCCCACCTCCCACCTCGCACCCCTGTCTCTGGCTCTTTCACCGCTTTCTCTGACTGTCTCTTCCCTGTCTCTGATTCTCCTCCCCTCTCTCTCTCTCTTTCTCTTTGTCGCTCTCTCTCTCTCTCTCNCACACACACACACACACACACACACACACACACACACACACACACACACACACACACACACACGCACATACAGACACTCGCGCATACATACATCTATAATTCAATCTTATTTATCCGTTGTTAGCAACGATAAGTGAGATTTGAATGTGTTACTCAGCCTAATTGAAGCCTAGCGGAGGTGGCAGCACGAGTTTCTGTAATCTTGCAGTGCACATAACATTAGAAGTAGATATCAATAGGGAATTTATATTATAGGAGTATTATATTATTTATATAGGGGATAATAGGGAATTCCCTATTATGATATTATCAAGAGCTAATAATACCTCTTAATATTAGCTGATATTATCTACTTCTGATAACATGCAGTCCACCGCACAATGTCGCCACTGTACGTATGCACACTACACACCGCACGAGGGGAGGCAGGCATAGGCGTGACTATAGACAAGCAGTCAGTGGGACTGAGGGTGAGGCAAGCAGAGGCTTGACTATAGACAAGCAGTCAGTGGGACTGAGGGTGAGGCAAGCAGAGGCTTGACTATAGACAAGCAGTCAGTGGGACTGAGGGTGAGGCAAGCAGAGGCTTGACTAGAGACAAGCAGTCAGTGGGACTGAGGGTGAAGCAAGGTGAAGGTGAGGCAGGCAGAGGCTGA